TCTCTTAGTACTGCTAAACTTTATACATTATTAAACTATTAGTAAATATAATTTTTGTTTGTGTGGTAACAAATAGTAAATAAAATATTATAACTTTTTAACTTATATAAATTTCGGTATATACACTTGAAAAGAATACCAATTGCGGCATAGATAAAAAAATTATATTTTCTTTGTGATAATCTATAACTCTAAGTATTCTTATAGATTATTTTATTTATTTATTTTTTTCATGGTTGTGTATATCTTTCAAATTTTAAATTAAGGTTTCTGTAACCTTTCTAATTTTTTATTTTTCCAATTTACATATCTTTTTTTTTATCATTTGAGTTTTTATTTATTTTAATTGACATATTTATTTTGTATGTATTAATTATTTCTTTTATGGCTTATGTCATGTCTATATTCTTAGACTTTGTTTCTTAATTAGTATGGATAATATTAGAAATTTTACTTTTTATTATTTGATTAATAACTTGACAGTTACTTTTCATATTAAATTTTATTTTTCTTAATTAATTTGAAGTTTTAACACATTAATCATTTTTTTCAATATTAGATACATGTCGTGATCTTGTGAGTTATTATTTTTCTTACGTGTCGTCTAATTATATAATACTTTTGATTTTAAAATTTATAGCACCTATAATTTGGCAAATGTAATTAGATTCTAAATTACAACTTGCACAAATATTTAATATTTATTTTATTATATATCTTATTAAATCGTCAATTTATTATATTTTCTCATATTAAAATTGTCTCATACACGTTATTATATTAGCAAAATAACACTTATAATATNACNTAANTTTTTGTCTTTAACTATTTAGATAATTTGAAATGGAAAGAATGTATTTTGTAATATAACAATTTAGAAATGTTACATATTTTAGTAGAAAGTTTTTTTTCTTTTTTTTAATTAGTTCATAACTCTTGTTTAGAATATATCCTTATTTTCTTTTTAAAATTTTTAGTTAATATTGACACATGTCAAAATCTAAATTAACAATTACATGTGTCGTAATCTGGTGAATTACAATTTTGCCTACGTGTCGCGTTCTTATCGCGCGTATTCTCCT